TTCAAAAAATCTGAAAAATAGAAATCTCGATTTTTTCAAAGGGTTAAACCCTTAGGTAAACCCCTTTTGATTTTAATTGCAAAATTTTCAAACTCAATTTTGTCGAAACCCGCCAAAGATTTCGGATCAATGTTTTTTAGGATTGTAGCCCTTGATGAGAACTTTAAAATGGTCTTTAGTTGAAGTCGCTGGCATTTAGGGTTTTTCAGAAAATCCAGTTTGAAGTTTTTGACTAAATTTCAACTAAAATCCAAATTTGAGGCTTAATTGCTCCAAAAGTATTTGAGTTATCAAACTCAATCTAGCACTCATTTATAGAGAATTTAATGCTCTTTTCAACCATATATAATTTATTTTGATTTGCTCAAAATTTAATAGAAGTATTCGCAATTGCTCCTAACCTTGTCAGGATTCAAAAAAAATTTAAACCTAAAAATTGAGATTTTCTTTTTAATTTTTCTCTGCGTTGAAATCAAGATTTTGTAATGATGTTAGAAATTTTTTCGACTAATTTAGTCCCGCTCTATCGATTGGAAAAGTCAAAATTCGAAAAATCTGAAAAATAAAAATTTCGATTTTTTCAAAGGGTTAAACCCCTTTGGATTTTAATTTTAAAATTTTCAAACTCAATTTTCTCGAAACCCGCCAAAGATTTCGGATCAATGCTTTTTAGGATTGTAGCCCTTGATGAGAACTTTAAAATGGTCTTTAGTTGAAGTCGCTGGCATTTAGGGTTTTTCAGAAAATCCAGTTTGAAGTTTTTGACTAAATTTCAACTAAAATCCAACTTTGAGGCTTAATTGCTCCAAAAGTATTTGAGTTATCAAACTCAATCTAGCACTCATTTATAGAGAATTTAATGCTCTTTTCAACCATATATAATTTATTTTGATTTGCTCAAAATTTAATAGAAGTATTCGCAATTGCTCCTAACCTTGTCAGGATTCAAAAAAAATTTAAACCTAAAAATTGAGATTTTCTTTTTAATTTTTCTCTGTGTTGAAATCAAGATTTTGTAATTATGTTAGAGTTTTTTTCGACTAATTTAGTCCCGCTCTATCGATTGAAAAAGTCAAAATTCAAAAAATCTGAAAAATAGAAATCTCGATTTTTTCAAAGGGTTAAACCATTAGGTTAAACCCCTTTTGATTTTAATTGCAAAATTTTCAAACTCAATTTTCTCGTAACCCGCCAAAGATTTCGGATCAATTTTTTTGGGATTGTAGCCCTTGATGAGAACTTTAAAATGGTCTTTAGTTGAAGTCGCTGGCATTTAGGGTTTTTCAGAAAATCCAGTTTGAAGTTTTTGACTAAATTTCAACTAAAATCCAACTTTGAGGCTCAATTGCTCCAAAAGTATTTGAGTTATCAAACTCAATCTAGCACTCATTTATAAAGAATTTAATACTCTTTCCAACCATATACAATTTATTTTGATTTGCTCAAAATTTAATAGAAGTATTGCCAATTGCTCCTAATCTTGTCAGGATTCAAAAAAAATTTAAACCTAAAAATTGAGACTTTCTTTTTAATTTTTCTCTGTGTTGAAATCAAGATTTTGTAATTATGTTAGAGTTTTTTTCGACTAATTTAGTCCCGCCCTAACGATTGGAAAGGTCAAAATTCGAAAAATCTGAAAAATAAAAATTTCGATTTTTTCAAAGGGTTAAACCCCTTTGGATTTTAATTTTAAAATTTTCAAACTCAATTTTCTCGAAACCCGCCAAAGATTTCGGATCAATTTTTTTTAGGATTGTAGCCTTTGATGAGAACTTTAAAATGGTACTTAGTTGAAGTCGCTGGCATTTAGGGTTTTTCAGAAAATCGAGTTTGAAGTTTTTGACTAAATTTCAACTAAAATCCAAATTTGAGGCTCAATTGCTCCAAAAGTATTTGAGTTATCAAACTCAATCTAGCACTCATTTATAGAAAATTTAATACTCTTTCCAACCATATATAATTTATTTTGATTTGCTCAAAATTTAATAGAAGTATTGCCAATTGCTCCTAATCTTGTCAGGATTCAAAAAAAATTTAAACCTAAAAATTGAGACTTTCTTTTTAATTTTTCTCTGTGTTGAAATCAAGATTTTGTAATGATGTTAGAAATTTTTTCGACTAATTTAGTCCCGCTCTATCGATTGGAAAACTCAAAATTCAAAAAATCTGAAAAATAAAAATTTCGATTTTTTCAAAGGGTTAACCCCTTTGGATTTTAATTTTAAAATTTTCAAACTCAATTTTCTCGAAACCCGTCAAAGATTTCGGATCAATGTTTTTTAGGATTGTAGCCCTTGATGAGAACTTTGAAATGGTCTTTAGTTGAAGTCGCTGGCATTTAGGGTTTTTCAGAAAATCCAGTTTGAAGTTTTTGACTAAATTTCAACTAAAATCCAACTTTGAGGCTCAATTGCTCCAAAAGTATTTGAGTTATCAAACTCAATTTAGCACTCATTTATAGAGAATTTAATACTCTTTCCAACCATATATAATTTATTTTGATTTGCTCAAAATTTAATAGAAGTATTGCCAATTGCTCCTAATCTTGTCAGGATTCAAAAAAAATTTAAACCTAAAAATTGAGACTTTCTTTTTAATTTTTCTCTGTGTTGAAATCAAGATTTTGTAATTATGTTAGAGTTTTTTTTCGACTAATTTAGTCCCGCCCTAACGATTGGAAAGGTCAAAATTCGAAAAATCTGAAAAATAAAAATTTCGATTTTTTCAAAGGGTTAAACCCCTTTGGATTTTAATTTTAAAATTTTCAAACTCAATTTTCTCGAAACCCGCCAAAGATTTCGGATCAATTTTTTTTAGGATTGTAGCCTTTGATGAGAACTTTAAAATGGTACTTAGTTGAAGTCGCTGGCATTTAGGGTTTTTCAGAAAATCGAGTTTGAAGTTTTTGACTAAATTTCAACTAAAATCCAACTTTGAGGCTCAATTGCTCCAAAAGTATTTGAGTTATCAAACTCAATCTAGCACTCATTTATAGAGAATTTAATACTCTTTCCAACCATATATAATTTATTTTGATTTGCTCAAAATTTAATAGAAGTATTCAAGTATTGCCAATTGCTCCTAATCTTGTCAGGATTCAAAAAAAATTTAAACCTAAAAATTGAGACTTTCTTTTTAATTTTTCTCTGTGTTGAAATCAAGATTTTGTAATGATGTTAGAAATTTTTTCGACTAATTTAGTCCCGCTCTATCGATTGGAAAACTCAAAATTCAAAAAATCTGAAAAATAAAAATTTCGATTTTTTCAAAGGGTTAAACCCCTTTGGATTTTAATTTTAAAATTTTCAAACTCAATTTTCTCGAAACCCGCCAAAGATTTCGGATCAATAAAATCCAACTTTGAGGCTCAATTGCTCCAAGAGTGTTTGAGTTATCAAACTCAATCTAGCACTGATTTTTAGAGAATTTGATGCTCTGTCCAACCATATATAATTTATTTTGATTTGCTCAAAATCTAATAGAAGTATTGGCAATTGCTCCTAACCTTGTCAGGATTCAAAAAAAATTTACCCCTTTAGATTTTTATTTCAGAAAATTTGATCTTGAATATCTTAAAATCTATTAAAGGTTTTGAATTAAAATTTTCAGGAAATGTAACTCTTGATAAGGGCTTTGAAATGGTATTTAGTTAAAATCGCTAGCTCTTATGGTTTTCGAAAAAACCGAGTTTGAAATTTTTGATAAAATTTGGACTAAAACTTAACTTTGAGATTCAATTGCCCAGAAAGTATTCGAGTTATCAGAACGAATTTAGCATGGATTTATAGAGAATTTAATGCTCTCTCCAACCATATATAATATGTTTTGATTTGTTCAAATGTCTTTGAAGATATTGGCCATTATTCCTAACCTTGTCAAGATTTGAAAAAATTTCCAGAACGAAAGTTGAGATTTTTTACCTTCTTGAAATCGCCATTTTGAAAGTGATGTTAGAATTTTTTCGATTGATTTAAACCCGCTGAATCAATTGGAAAAGTCAAAATTTCGAAAATATGAAAAATAAAAATTTCGAGTTTTCGATTGATTTGACTGAAACCCCCCATAAGCAACGCCACTGGCCAAACAAAATTCATGTTGCCAACTTGAAAAATAACCGGCCAATAGCAACAAGAGCCTGGAATAAACAGAAATTGAAATATATAAAGGGAAACATATATATGAAAAGAACAAATAAAAATTTATATAAAAATCAAAGGACCTCATACTCACATACCATTTATGGGTATTTGGTTTTCTGTCAAACAAATGAAATTTGTATGTTAATGAAGTAAAATTTATGCCATTGTTAAAAATATCCATAATTGATGAAATTTCAAAATCACCAGAAATTGCCATTTTTCAAAAAGTTTTTCACCAATCACCAGATTTTTCATAAAATCACCAGATCTGGTGAAATTTCTGCAGACCTGGCATCACTGGCCCAAAGTTTTATGAGAATTTGGATCCTTAGTACCTCGTAGGTTAAGAGGTATTATATGAGCAAGCTTTCTTTTCCTTGTGAAGGGCACTACAGTTATTTTGTGAGGATTTATTTTCATATCCTCACTCCACCGTAAGCATTGTGTACTATTTTCTGAAGGGTTTCGTAGAGTCACTTTCCGATTTTCCCCTCATTACAATAGCTATGTCGTCCCACGGCCTTGTCGTCCGCATAAGCCTTGTCGTCCGCATAAGCAAAGGTATAACAAATTTAATCAAAATTGCAAGAGAATTTGTGCAGTGATCCAATGACATTGAGAGAAAAAGAAAAGGGATATTTTTAGACAAATCTGGCAACAGTAAATTATACATATACCATTTACTAGGACATGAAACTCATCATTCGTTTCTCAATACATGGAGCATTGAACTGGACTGAATATTTAAATAAGGAATACGTAGTTTTATGAGATTTTTCAATATAACTTTTGATCCTAGATCCCCTCACAGCTCCTAGAACTAACGGTAACCCAGTTAAATCAAATATTGTCTTGTTTCAGGATACCATCACACCACCCAACAACCACCCAGAATAACCGAACACCCTGTAGATACCACAGTAGCCAGGCACGAACCAGCCACTCTAAATTGTCAGGCACAAGGCGAACCAGAACCATCCATAACATGGTAAATATCAAAATTTGACTAAATCCAATAGATTTTACATTATTTACCAAAACTAGGTACAAAGACGGTTCCATTCTAAGAACAACAATCCAAGATTCTCGATCACACCGAGTGGTACTACCAGCTGGAAGTTTGTTCTTCCTCAAAGTGGTCCAAAGCAGGAAAGAGTCGGACGCCGGAGTTTACTGGTGCGAGGCCAGCAACGCTTTAGGAAAAGTGAGGAGCCGGAATGCCACGTTGACTGTTGCAAGTAAGTAATTTTCCGGGGCAAAGTTTTTCAAATAGGAAAAGTTTGTTCGGGGCCGATGCGGTCCTTATAGCGGACAAACTTTCTAACGAGACTTTTTTCAATTCCATTAGAGCGGAAAACTTTAAAAACAAAAATTTTTGTTGGTCTTTTTCCAGATTCAATTAAGTTAAGAAATTTTCAATATTGATTTAATTAACTTGAAAATTACGATTATAGCTAGGTAGTTTCCTTTATGACGCGCGAAACCATTTTCTCTATATTGCTACAAGGATATTGCCAGAAAATCCGAAAGGTAGGTATATAGCCCGAAATGGAACTTACGTGTAAATTTCTCGAACGAACTAATCAAGCCCGCAAGGCCAACAATATGGCTTTCCAGAGACCCTCGAGACGTCCTCCAGTAAGATCCTAAGATGAACTAATTGACTCCCATCGGCTTATTTGGGTCGGGACTTTAGAGTTTGAGGACCGGTGAAGGGTCTAGTGAAATAGAATAAATATAAACTATTAATGTATGCTTTGCGGGAAAAGGGTTAGAGATTGGAGTCTCTGGATGATATTGCATATCGTTTAGTTTTTTATTTGGGAGCAAGGCAAGTGGTTCTTTTACCGTAGTCAAAAGCTTTCCTACTTTGTGGATATTTCATAAAAGTTCTGGAAAATCAAAGACAAGAAGACTTTGAGAAACTGGAAAATTGAAGACAGAAAAACTTACAGGGTATTTTATGGAAGCTTCATTAAAGGCAAAGAGTCATTGAGCAATTTTCATTAAAAAGTTCTTGAGAATGAAAGTCTCTGAACTTCAAAATAGTGACATTTGTATCCCTTTTTAAAAGAAAGTTAGACTTGTCAACATCACCTCCATATTCTCATGGGGTTTTCTCCCATCTCTAAACCAAATAAACCATTCTAAATATGCACTTTATAGCAATGACTATTATTGCTGCGTCCTTTTTTTTCCACCTCTCGATTGATCCCGGGGAAACAAAAGGGTTTAATTTGAATTTTCCTGTTTTGCCGCTCCGGAATAAATGCTGAAATTCAGTTATAAAAGCACGGGGAGGCCCCGGATTCCGAAAGGGGTTCGCTTTTCATTGCTTGTTTCGTTTTAATCAGGAGTTTGCTTGCGGTCTACATTTTGATTCAAAGTTTTCTTTGAATTTTATATAAAATATCAATTTTATGTATGCAGCAACTATCTGAGTGGAAAATTAAAAAAGATACGTCTCCCTATATATGACTTTGGCGAACTGTCTTTTTTTTTCTTGCATTGGAAAATGGGGAAAAAAGCACCCCTTCGTTGACTGCTGGAACTTGATACAGGGTGCTCCAATTTCATAGTTTGAATTTTATACATGGTGTTACAAATTCGCAAGTAAATATGGGAATCTCGCTACCTAATTAGGCACTAGCTGACGTCACACACATAACCTCGCAATGACATTTTTGTCCCCCTATCGAAAGTGACGTTATGTGATTTTTGACGTAATAGCTAGCGCCTGCGTGTAAAAATAGATATTCAAACGCTTTGTGTGTCCCCCCATTGAAAGTCGGTGAGGTTGTGTGTGACGTCAGCTAGTGCCTCATCAAAATGCCGTTTCGAAATTTGGGTTTTTTGAATCATGACAAGGTGAAAAATTGCTAACATACCTACATGATTTTGAAATAAAAATCCAAATTTTAATTATTTTTATTTTCAGAATTTTGACTTTCTCAATCGATAGAGCGGGTCTAAATTAGCCGAAAAAAACTCTAACATCATTTCCAAATGACCAACTTAGAGAAGGAAGAAAAATCAAATATAAAATTTAATTTTTTGGTTCTGATTTTTTTTTTTTTTTCACGACAAGGTTAAGAAAAGTTGCCAATATTTCTATTAAAATTTGAACAAATAAAAATAAATTATACATTATCAGAAAGAGCATTAAATTCTCTATAAATCTGTGCAAAATTGAGTTCAATAGCTCAAATGCTTTCTGAGCGAATGAGCCTCAAAGTTGAATTTTAGTCAAAATTTAATCAAAAACTTCAAACTCAATTTTCTCAAAAACTACAAACCTGAGAATATTGTTAATTACAGGTGTTTTAGAGCTTGATGAGAGACACAAAAGCTGAAAATTTCAATACAATTTGCTCAACGGTTACTGAGCAATTGAGCTTGGAATATTTTGAAATCAGAATTCAAAGGGGTACCCCTTATAAAAAACTCGATTTTTTTATTTTTTAGTTTAGTTTGTTTTCAACTTGACATGCCTTGAGCAATTTCCCATATCTTTGTTAAATTTTGAGCAAGTAAAATAAATTATATACCATTGAAAAGAGCCTTAAATTCTCTATAAATTCGTGCAAAATTGAGTTCAATAACTCAGATAGTTTCTGAGTAATGGAGCCTCAAAGTTGATTTTTGGTCCAAATTTTGTCAAAAACATCAAATTCAATTTTCTCAAAAACTATAAGCCTGAGAATATTGTTAATTACAGGTCTTTTAGAGCTTGATGAGAGGCACAAAAGCTGATAATTTCAATACAATTTGCTCAACGGTTACTGAGCAATAGAGCTTGGAATATTTTGAAATCAGAATTCAAAGGGGTATTTACCCCTTATAAAAAACTCGATTTGTTTTATTTTTCAGTTTTGCTCAATTTTGACTGTACCAATCGATAGACCGGGTTAAAATTAGTGGAGTACCACCCTAACATCATTTTCAAATGGGCATTTTAAACAGAAACAAAAATTAAAAGGGAAATCTTATTTTTGGATGTAGAAAATTTTCAAAAACTTGACATGCCTTGAGCAATTTCCCATATTTTTGCTAAATTTTGAGCAAGTTAAAATAAATTATATATCGTTGAAAAGAGCAATAAATTCTCTATAAATCCGTGCAAAATTGAGTTCAATAACTCAAATAGTTTCTGAGTAATGGAGCCTCAAATTTGATTTTTGGTCCAAATTTTATCAAAAACTTCAAATTCAATTTTCTCAAAAACTATAAGCCCGAGAATATTGTTAATTACAGGTCTTTTAGAGCTTGATAAGAGGCACAAAAGCTGAAAATTTCAATACAATTTGCTCAACGGTTACTGAGCAATTGAGCTTAGAATATTTTGAAATCAGAATTCAAAGGGGTACCCCTTATAAAAAACTCGATTTTTTAATTTTTTAGTTTTGCTCAATTTTGAGTGTACCAATCGATAGAGCGGCTTAAAATTAGTGGAGTACAACCCTAACATCATTTTCAAATGGACATTTTAAACAGAAACAAAAATTAAAAGGAAAATCTTATTTTTGGCTGTAGAAAATTTTCAAAAACTTGAAATGCCTTGAGCAATTTCTCATATCTTTGTTAAATTTTGAGCAAGCTAAAATAAATTATATACCATTGAAAAGAGCATTAAATTCTCTATAAATCCGTGCAAAATTGAGTCCAATAACTCAAAAAGTTTCTGAGTAATGGAGCCTCAAATTTGGTTTTTGGTCCAAATTTTGTCAAAAACTTCAAATTCAATTTTCTCAAAAACTATAAGCCTGAGAATATTGTTAATTACAGGTCTTTTAGAGCTTGATGAGAGGCACAAAAGCTGAAAATTTCAATACAATTTGCTCAACGGTTACTAAGCAATTGAGCTTAGAATATTTTGAAATCAGAATTCAAAGGGCCCTTATAAAAAACTCGATTTGTTTTATTTTTCAGTTTTGCTCAATTTTGACTGTACCAATCGATAGAGCGGGTTAAAATTAGTGGAGTACAACCCTAACATCATTTTCAAATGGGCATTTTAAACAGAAACAAAAATTAAAAGGGAAATCTTATTTTTGGATGTAGAAAATTTTCAAAATTTTGACATGCCTTGAGCAATTTTCCATATTTTTGCTAAATTTTGAGCAAGTTAAAATAAATTATATACCATTGAAAAGAGCAATAAATTCTCTATAAATCCGTGCAAAATTGAGTTCAATAACTCAAATAGTTTCTGAGTAATGGAGCCTCAAATTTGATTTTTGGTCCAAATTTTATCAAAAACTTCAAATTCAATTTTCTCAAAAACTATAAGCCCGAGAATATTGTTAATTACAGGTCTTTTAGAGCTTGATAAGAGGCACAAAAGCTGAAAATTTCAATACAATTTGCTCAACGGTTACTGAGCAATTGAGCTTAGAATATTTTGAAATCAGAATTCAAAGGGGTACCTACCCCTTATAAAAAACTCGATTTTTTAATTTTTTAGTTTTGCTCAATTTTGAGTGTACCAATCGATAGAGCGGGTTAAAATTATTGGAGTACAACCCTAACATCATTTTCAAATGGGCATTTTAAACAGAAACAAAAATTAAAAGGAAAATCTTATTTTTGGCCGTAGAAATTTTTCAAAAACTTGACATGTCTTGAGCAATTTCCCATATCTTTGTTAAATTTTGAGCAAGTTAAAATAAACTATATACCATTGAAAAGAGCATTAAATTTTCTATAAATCTGTGCAAAATTGAGTTCAATAGCTCAAATAGTTTCTGAGTAATGGAGCCTCAAAGTTGATTTTTGTTCCAAATTTTGTCAAAAACTTCAAATTCAATTTTCTCAAAAACTATAAGCCTGAGAATATTGTTAATTACAGGTCTTTTAGAGCTTGATGAGAGGCACAAAAGCTGATAATTTCAATACAATTTGCTCAACTGTTACTGAGCAATTGAGCTTGGAATATTTTGAAATCAGAATTCAAAAGGCCTTATAAAAAACTCGATTTTTTTATTTTTTAGTTTTGCTCAATTTTAACTGTACCAATCGATAGAGCGGGTCAAAATTAGTGGAGTACAACCCTAACATCATTTTCAAATGGACATTTTAAACAGAAACAAAAATTAAAAGGGAAATCTTATTTTTGGCTGTAGAAAATTTTCAAAAACTTGACATGCCTTGAGCAATTTCCCATATCATTATCAAATTTTGAGCAAGTTAAAATAAATTATATACCCTTGAAAAGAGCATCAAATTCTCTATAAATCCGTGCAAAATTGAGTTCAATAACTCAAATAGTTTCTCAGTAATGGAGCCTCAAAGTTGATTTTTAGTCCAAATTTTGTCAAAAACTTCAAATTCAATTTTCTCAAAAACTATAAGCCTGCGAATATTGTTAATTACAGGTCTTTTAGAGCTTGATGAGAGGCACAAAAGCTTAAAATTTCAATACAATTTGCTCAACGGTTACTGAGCAATTGAGCTTGGAATATTTTGAAATCAGAATTCAAAGGAGTACCCCTTATGAAAAACCAAAAATTATTTTCCAATACAATAGGAGGTACAATTTCTGAAAAGTTAAATTCAATATCTCTCACGAATTTCAAGATATTGAAGCTAAATCCAAAGTAACTTATTGTTGTACAGGGTTGCGCATCAAAATTGAGACCAATAGATAAAAATAACAAATCTTGATAGAAATTAATAAATTATTTATTAAATTCACGTTACAAAACAATCAAACAAATTGTGCAAAACAATGTAATAAATTGAGACAAAAACACAATACAAATAATGTTAATCTTCGTCAACATCCAGAAAAGTACCCGTCATCGGATCCCTCAACTCCCCAATTCCGTACCATTCTATGGTGGTAAACCAAACTATCGTAGGCTGATTTTAATGAAAACCCATTAATATAAAAGCACTGATAACACACTTTTCGTAGGCAACTTCCACAAGCCAGGTACCATCGCTGAACGGTATAGGGATGCAAAACACATTCTTGGTGGAACTCCAGGATTTCGGCAACAAATTGTTCGTTTATTGGAATACCTCCTGGCAACTTATAAACCAACTCCCAATTGACTTCTTCATCTACGACTTTTAATTCTTCCAGCAAAGGCTCATGGCGGTACCGAATTTTCAGCAAAGCTACATCCAATGCTTGAACTTCATGGTCTTTTCGATGCGTTCGGTAACATTCTAAGCATAAATCCGTAAAACATTGCAAACAATATAAAGAATTTTCTAAATCGTGATCGCCACATTTCACTAAATCTGGTTGGTTCATGATGTTGACTCGATCGAAGATCGATTTGTACTGAAATGTTTGCCTTTTCAGGTAACTGTTAAGTGATGAACTTCCAGGAAAAATTGATTGACTTAATGGCTTAATAAATGATTTATTTTTGACTGGGAAGATAATAAAACAATACAAAATTCACATATACCTACAAATGAGTAATTTATTTAAATAAAATATAATACAAATTAAGAACATTTAAAGCAAAATTGTGTCATAGTTGAGCAAATTCGTGCGAATTTTGAGGCGTCATATTATGGTACTGAACAAAAGTATAATGGGCCGCTTCTAATGTAAACCCGTTATCGCAAAAACACTGATAGCACAACTTTAATCCGCAAGTAGCGCAATTCAAGTACCACCCTGGATCGGTAAAGGGATGCAAAGCGCACACTTGATAATGTTCGAGAACTTGAGGAACAAATTTATAATTCACTTCGTACCAACCAAATGAAACTTCTTGTGATGTCCAATAGTCTTCTTGTTCGTATTTTGGTTTGGTTTGGTTCTTCACCCGATCTTCAACGGCTGTTAAATCTTCACATTCCAACAATGGTTCGTGACGTTGTCGAATTTTCCGTAAGGCTTCATCCAGAGGCTCGACTTCGTGGTTTTCTGGATGCGTTTGGTAGCACATTGCGCACAAATCCGTATAGCATTGCATGCAGTAGAGGTAGTTTTTTAAATCGTGGGCGCCACATTTTACTAAATCTGGTCCGTCCATGGTGTTTATTGGAACGGGAATTGGTTTGTACTGAAAATGTTTGGGAAATTTGGGTTTTAAAGTAATGCTCAGGTACTCAATTGATTGGTAACTAAACTGCATGATAATGTTCTTCGAAAGATATATAATTTGAGATTTGAATAAATTATATTTTAAGTAGTTTATGGAGGTTTTGCATTTACTTAGACTGAAATAATCTAATTGAAGAAAGATTTTTACGTAAATTAATATTTAATGAGAAGTTTTGAAGCATAGTTATTTCTTTGGCTCAAGAATTATGTGTATTAAACCAGAATGTTGTTTCTCAGAAATATCATTTATTCTTGACTCTATTTTCAATTTCTGTATGCAATTTACTTGACAATGAATTTAAAATATTCTTGTTCTTGGTAAATTGTAAATGGGAAACAAATTTCGAAGAATAATGTTTATGCCTTAATTTATTCTGGTAGGTAATAAGAATACTTTTAACACCATATACAAGTACTGAATAATTATATTAATATGGGTACCTACCTGTGAGAGTTACTTTTCTTGAAAATATTGATTGTGGTTATACAAAAATAAAGTAACCATTCTGAGACCCAAAATTTGACCAGTTTGGCTTGATTTAATTAGGGTTGGAAGTCCATTGTGCATTGTTTAACTTAAAATCTCCATAGTTTGACAATTCTTTGAAAAACCATAACTAATTTGAATGGGTTTTTACAAGAATTTCATATGGAGTCCAAGATACCTACAGTCAAAAGTGATCTTTTTCCGTCCCTTATTGTAACTATGATTATGGAAATTATGTTAGGGTCATTTTGGACCTGCTCCATTGATTCATAAAAGTCAAAATTGACAAACATTGATTCCGATTTTTGTATCAAAATTCTAATAACTTAATATCTCGAGAATATGTTATGAAATAATAGGACTACATTTTCAGGAATTGTAATTCCTATTATGTAATAAATTTTGAATAAAGTTCAACTTTGAAGGTTGATACCTCGGAAACTATACGAGCTTTCAGAACTAGTTTGATAAAATTTATAAAGAACTTAATGCCCTTTTAAATGATATATGATTAGAGCAATTTGCTCAAATATCATGGAAGATATGAGCAATTATTCATAATCGTGTAAGGATTTATGAAAAATTCCAGAATCAAAGATGGAATTTACTGTGGGATTTTTCTCCTCTTTAAAATGGATCTTTGAAAATGATGATAGAGTCATTTTTGGCTCACTTGCACCTGCTCTATTGATTGGTAAAGTCAAAAAAGATAAATTTCAACTAAAACTCAAGTTTGAGGCTCTAGAACTCAATCAGTTTATGCGCTAACCTGAAACTAACTGAACACAATTTATTGAGAATTGACTTTCCAATCAAATCAAACCGAACAAATTTGCTTTTTAAAAGAGTCTGTATTTCATAAATACTGGAAATTTGAGGTCACTGATCACTGAAATTGTAAATTTAGAACTCAGAAACACAGTGAATCAATCAAATCAACTAAAACCCCAATCAAGAGCCGAGAATAGACACAAATTTACTTTCCAATCAAATCAAACTGAACAAGTTTGCCTTTCAAAAGAGTCTCTATTCCATAAATCCTGGAAATTCGGGGTCACTAGATGGCCGAAATTGTAAATTTAGAACTCAGAAACATAGTGAATCGATCAAATCAACTAAAAATACAATCAAGAGCCGGGAATAGACACAAATTTACTTTCCAATCAAATCAAACCGAACAAATTTGCTTTTCAAAAGAGTCTCTATTTCATAAATGCTGGAAATTTGAGGTCACTGATGACTGAAATTGTAAATTTAGAACTCAGAAACACAGTGAATCAATCAAATCAACTAAAACCCCAATCAAGAGCCGAGAATAGACACAAATTTACTTTCCAATCAAATCAAACTGAACAAGTTTGCCTTTCAAAAGAGTCTCTATTCCATAAATCCTGGAAATTCGGGGTCACTAGATGGCCGAAATTGTAAATTTAGAACTCAGAAACATAGTGAATCGATCAAATCAACTAAAAATACAATCAAGAGCCGGGAATAGACACAAATTTACTTTCCAATCAAATCAAACCGAACAAATTTGCTTTTCAAAAGAGTCTCTATTTCATAAATGCTGGAAATTTGAGGTCACTGATGACTGAAATTGTAAATTTAGAACTCAGAAACACAGTGAATCAATCAAATCAACTAAAAATACAATCAAGAGCCGGGAATAGACAAAAATTGACTTTTCAATCAAATAAACCGAACATTTCAAGTTTTGGAGTTTTTATTTTGTTTTTAATATAACTTTATTTATGAACTCAAAACAGTACATGTACATGACTGGTATCAGCCTTTAAGTAACACAGAATTAAATATTTGAGGTTAAAATTCAAATAAACTTAATAAGAAATTATAAATTTGGTGTATTAGCAATAAATATACAAAAGATAATATATATACATACAATAGGGTTCTTCAAGTAAACAAGAAAAAGAGCGAAAGGAAAAATAGGAAAGTTCCTAGTTCACAGACAGTTCTGTATCACAAAGAAGTTTTTTAGTCTCTGTTCAAATCCAAATGAAGTAGATATTCTTCATATATTTTCATTGCTCTGTTAACTACACTGTTCTTTCCAATGTTAGTTCTTGATGATGTGCAGATTGCCACGCTATCTAGTGCAATAACCATGTATGTCAGTATTTGACTCGACTGTGTATAATCTTTTCCATAAGTTTGGATTCTTGTAGGTTTACTATTTGTTCATCCTTCAACAACTCAATTTGAGACCTTGGATAGAGTCTTGGGAGACGATATAGGTATTTTATAAATCTATTTTGCAGCCTTTGCAGTTTTTGAATTAGTGTCTTTCTTTGGAGTTGCAGCAACATGTATTGCGGATGTGATTTGAGAATTGCTTTATATAGTGCAGTCTTCAGACAATCAGGTAGAAGGTTTACACATTTTTTATTTACACCACTTGTACCAGCCAGTTTCTTCCTCAATAAGTTCACATGTAGTTTGAATCTTAAGTCTTTGTCAATGCCCCAAGTATTTGTAGGAATCAACCATTTTGAATGCTGTATTAATAATCTTTATATCTATAGAATTGATTATTGATTTGTTTTTTGTTTAAAAGTCATGAACACTCTGATAATCTTCAAGTTGATTCTGAGAAGCCATTTATAGTAGGTAGATAAGGAGCGATTAACGGTCTGCTGTAAGCTGTAAGTCTTGAATATTTGGATCCTCGAAAAGTAACACTGTATCATCAGCGAATGTTATATATTTACAGTTCAGGTTTGCCATTGAAAGACTGTGCACATACAAAAGATACAGTATAGGTCCCAGGACCCAGCCTTGTGAAACTCCATTATTTGTGATAACCACCCCACTATTGCGTTGATTGACCACTGTATATTGTTGCCGCTTAGTGACATACGATTTCATAAGATTGTATGCTTCTCCTCTAATTCCCATACCTTCCAAATTTTCCAAAAGAATTTCAGTCTTAACGGTATCGAACGCTTTTTGAAGGTCTATGAAAACCGTTAGAGTCTCTATTCCATAAATCCTGGAAAAGCAAATTGGCTCATTAACCTCATTATTTTATTTCTAAGCTTCATATTGACTTCAAATTTACCTTATTTGATGAAAGGATCCTGGCTACCAAATCCTGAAAATTTCAAGTCCATCGGATACTCCGAAGTATTTTTCAGGATTTTTTAAAGGTTATTTAACGTGAATTTTCCAACTTTTTGTGGTATTAAGTTGGAAAAAACCTCATAATTTTATTTCTGAGCTTCAGATTGACTTCAGATTTGTCTTGTTTGATGAGAACATCCCAAATAATGAATCCTGAAAGTTTAAAAACGATCTGATACTCTGAAGTATTTTTCAGGATTTTTTAAAGGTTATTTAATGTGAATTTCCAACTTTTTCTGGTATTAAGTTGGAAAAAACCTTAATAAATTTATTTCTGAGCTTCAGATTGACTTCAAATTTGCCTTGTTTGATGAAAACATCCTGGTTAATAAATCCTGAAAGTTTGAAACTGATCCGATACTCCGAAGTATTCTTCAGGATTTTTCAAAGGTGATTTAACGTGAATTTTCCAACTTTTTCTGGTATCAAGTTGAAAAAAACCTTATAATTTTATTTCTGAACTTCAGATTGACTTCAAATTCGCCTTGTTCAATGAAAACATCCTAATTTATAAATCCTGAAAGTTTGAAGTCGATCTAATACTACAAAGTATTTTTCAGAATTTTTCAAATGTGATTTAACGTGAATTTTCCAACGTTTTCTGGTATTAAGTCGGAAGAACCCTTATAATTTTATTTCTGACCTTCAGATTGACTTCAAATTTGCCTTGTTTCATGAAAACATCCTAATTAATGAATCCTGAAAGTTTAAAAATGATCTGATACTCTGAAGTATTTTTCAGGATTTTCCAAAGGTGATTTAGTATGAATTTCCCAACTTTTTCTGGTATTAAGTTGGGAAAAACCTCATAATTTTATTTCTGAGCTTCAGATTGACTTCAAATTTGCCTTGTTTCATGAAAACGTCCTGGTCAATAAATCCTGAAATTTTGAAATCGATCCGATACTCCGAAATATTTTTCAGGATTTTTTCAAAGGTGATTCAACGTGAATTTTTCAACTTTTTCTGGTATTGAGTTGGAAAAAACCTCATAATTTTATTTCTGAGCTTCAGATTGACTTCAAATTTGCCTTGTTTGATGAAAACATCCTAATTAATAAATCCTGAAAGTTTAAAAACGATCTGATACTCTGAAGTATTTTTCAGGATTTTTCAAATGTGATTTAGCATGAATTTCCCAACTTTTTTTGGTATTTAGTTGGGAAAAACCTCATAATTTTATTTCTGAGCTTCAGATTGACTTCAAATTTGCCTTGTTGCATGAAAAGATTCTGGTTAATGAATCCTGAAAGTTTGAAATCGATCTGATATTCCAAAGTATTTTTCAGGATTTTTCAAAT